GTGGCCTAGAAATCTGAATGTCTAATAAATTTCCTTACAAATGCTGCTGCACAATCTGTGATCTTGGCCTTTCCATATAGTGGGTATGATGGTTGTTATCATAGCCTATTTCCAGCTCCAGAATTTACCAACTAGTGCCCAAAAAACAAACAATCAGTGAAAAAGACTGTCCTAGCCAGGCTCTCTCTTTTTTTCAGTGCTAGGGATAGAATACTTCCCACATATTAACCAAGTGTTCAACCTGTGAGCTACACATCCAGCCCTAGCCTGATTCTTGAATTGTGTGTTAGCCTCTAAATCTAGGTGCCTCTTCTGTACCATGGGCCAAAGCCAGGTTCTTTTTTGTACTTTGGCATTAACTCAGATCCTGGCCACATAGGAGAGGCAGTTTCAGCATTGGAAAATGAAGGACACTCTGAGAAAACTTTGGGTCCCTGCTAGGCGTCTGGGGTTTTCTTGATCCTTCTCATGAGTTCTGTAAAATCACTGCCTCCAGGATGTATTCTGTCTTCAAGAAAAAGATAAGAAGCTCACTGCTGCCTCTCCAAAAAAGCCTTCCTTTCTAGTAAAAATGGAAGTAATATCCTGCTTTTTGAGTGCATAAACCTTTTCAAGGACTGCGAAACTGCACGTGTTAACTATCTTTAGCCATTGGGCCTTGTCTAGCTTCATATTCCTTGTTTGGAATTTTGACAATTCTGAAAACTTCTTTAAAAAGCAAACAAAACCAAATATCTATATATACATATATATGCACATATGTATATTGAAGGAGGGAGGGAGAGAGAGAGAAAGGGAGAGAGAGAGAGAGAGCGTTGTGTTTTTTGTTCACCCACACGGACCAGCTTTACCAACCAACCACCAGTGTTGGTATAAACCCACAAGATTCTGAAATACCAAATATGTCAAAAGAATCCAAAATGAGATGAAATTAATTTTCCTCTGTGTTTTTTGGAAATATATGAGGGGAAGTCAGTGCTGGATATTGAACCACACAGATTTTAGAACTAGAATGGATCTGGAATATCATTCATTCAAACACAATCATTTGATCACTAAAGAAATAGAAATCCAAGAAGATGAGGTAATGTATAGCTAATGTATAACAGAGACAAAACTGTTGTCAAGTTTTCTGGTCCCAGGTTATTTTTTATAGATTCCCATTAAGCTGTTCTTTTTCTAAACATAAAATTCCCATAACCCATCTAAGAAGATTGAGAATGATTACATTAGTAGTTAACCTTCTCTAAGAAAGATGTTCTTAATTCTCTCATGCCCAAACTTTTCACACAAGCAAGGGTAAGGATTGGCAATGTGGAAATCACGCATCAGAGAACCACCATCAAATCACTCATTAATTCAACTAATATTTATTTTGTTCCTATCATATCCCCGGAACAATGCAGTAAAGAAACTAGATGAAAATGGATCCAAAAATTACATTTGATGTTGCTGGGAAAAGTGGTTATTTCCCTGCAGAAAACTGAAACCAGATCCATGTTTATCACTCTGTACTAGTATCAACTCAAAATAGATCAATGACCTTAATATCAGACCCAAAATCTTGCAGTTAGTACAGGAAAGAGCAGGGAATACTCTGGACGCAATAGGTATAGGCAAGGACTTCCTCAATAGAACTCCAGCAGCTCAGCAACTAAAAGGAAGGATGGACAAATGGGACTTCATAAAATTAAAAAACTTCTGCACAACAAAAGAAATGGTCTCTAAACTGAAGAGACCACCCTCAGACTGGGAGAAAATATTTGCCAGCTATACATCAGACAAAGGATTGATACCAGAATATACAGGGAGCTCAAAAAACTAAAGTCCCCCTAAGTCAATGAACCAATAAAGAAATGGGCAACTGAACTAAACAGAACTTTTTTAAAAGAAGAAATTCAAATGGCCAAAAAAACATGAAAAAAAAATGCTCACCATCTCTGGCCATAAAGGAAAGGCAAATCAAAACTACACTAAGATTCCACCTCACCCCTGTTAGAATAGCCATCATCAAAAACACCACCACCAACAAATGTGGGGAAAAAGGAATCCTCTTACACTGCTGGTGGGAATGCAAGCAAGTGTGACCACTCTGGAAAACAATATGGAGGCTTCTTAAAAAACTAAACATAGATCTGCCATATGATCCAGCAATCCCACTCTTAGGGATATACCCAAAAGACTGTGACTCAGGTTACTCCAGAGGCACCTGCACACCCATGCTTATTGTAGCACTATTCACAATAGCCAAGTTATGGAAACAGCCAAGATGCCCCACTACTGACGAATGGATTAAGAAAATGTGGTATTTATACACAATGGAATTTTACTCAGCCATGAAGAAGAATGAAATGTTATCATTCGCTGATAAATGGATGGAACTGGAGAACATCATCCTGAGTGAGGTTAGCCAGGCTCAGAAGACCAAAAATCGTATGTTCTCCCTCATATGCGGACTTTAGATCTAGGGCAAATGCAGCAATGTTGTTGGACTTGGGTCACACGCTAAGGGGAGAGCACATATGGGAGGAATGGGGATAGACAGGAAACCCAAAACTTGAAAGTGTTTGATGTCTTCACTGCAGAGGAGCTAATACAGAAACCTTAAAGCGACAGAGGTCGATATGGGAGAGTGACCAGGAAGAAGTGAAGAGGCCAGGTAGAGATGAATCAATTCGGGTTGTAATACGCTTGTGCATGGAAGCAATGCTAGGAATCTCTCTGTATAGCTATTCTTATCTAGACAAGCAAAAACACTTTATCTTTCTTATTATTGTTTATGTCTTCTCTTCAACAAAATTGGAGAGAAGGACAGAACAGGTTCTGCCTGGAAATGATGGGGTGGGGGGAACAGGAAGGAGAAAAGGCAGGGAATGGGAATAAGGATTGAGAATGCATATACGGTGTGTGTGTGTGTGTGTGTGTGTGTAGAAAAGCTGGTTATTAGGCAAGTTGGTCAAGAAAGACCTCTTAAGAAGTAAAGACCATAACTAGGAAGCCTGATGTGGTAGCTCACACCTACAATTCCAGCCACTCAGGAAGCAGAAAATGGGAAGAAGAGGGATGGTGCGATTAAAATGGCCTTCTCCTTTCAAGGATGCTAGGAAGAGTTTTGTTAGTATCTGAGGTAAAAATAAATGCCTGATAATTTGTAGTTTCATATAATGGAAAGCATTGCTTAGAATACAGAATTTAAAAAATAGAATTAAGATCAATAAGAGATATTAGTTTGTTAAAAAAAATCTAGAAAACATGAAGTAATGCCAAGACTGCTTGGCAAGATGATATGTGACTTAAAACTTGATGAAAATGTTGAAAAGTTCAGACATTTGATTCATCCAAATATGTAATTAATTATAAGGATTTGGGCTGAAGTGTGAAATTTATATAGAGTCGATGACTAATTCAACATTTTTGAGAGCTTACCACATGCAACGCAGGGACAATGATTCAGAGATACAAAGTGGAGCAAGACACCATTCTACCTCAGTGAACTTTTCACCATGGTAAATCCATTTTCTCTTCTTCCTGGGCATCTAGCCAGAATACAATTCTCAGCTTCCCTTGCGGGTAAGTGTGGCTTGTGGATAAGTTCTGGCCAAAGGGATTTGTCTGTATATGATGGATGCTACTTCTGGATTTGCCCATAAAATCTTAGGGAATGGCAGAGTCTCACTAAGCAAGGAGCTGGGGTTCCTAAGTTACCTCCTGGATGGCTGTCTGCAAAATATTTGATTAAACATTATGTCTGTGATTTTAAAGTACTGAGAATAAAGGCAGCTTATGTTGAACAACTAAAATAATTATTCATTAGCACTTGCACAGACTTTTACAGTTTGTATAATACTTTCACATATCAAATGTTTCTGGTAACCACACTGGGAATTAGATTATATTTTTATTTTTCTCCTTTCATAGGAGCTGAAATTGATGCCTATGGAGTCACAGATAGGTACAGTACAGAGGGCAACTATCCTAAACCACTGGTTCTCGAATTTCCAAACTAAATTGGTATAAGGCAAGCATGTAAATACATTTAATACAAGGCATTTGATAAGCTTAGACAAACTCTTAAGAAGATTCAAGAAGCGACTAGCATTCTTGGTTGAAGGAGCCACAAAAGGATCTAATGGGATAGGTAGACTTTCTGGTGCATGCAAATTGACAAGAGAAATGGGAGAAGAAATGTGGAGAAGTTTCTGTAAATTTTGACATGCAATATGAGTGGAGAATGGAAATAGAAAAGAATTGGCATTTGTTTGAATGTTTCAAAGGAAGTTAGAGCAAGCCATGCAGTTTTATGAAGGAAAACAGGAACTGGTAATTCAATACAAATCAAAAAAATATTTCTTGAGTGCCTGCCAGATGGAGGGCCTTCCAAAAGTGTACAGAGGATACAGAGAAGAGATAGCAAGGGCACAGCCCTTGTTTTAAATGCATTTATAATCTATCAGGGGAATGGTCATAAGTGACTGTAGCACAATGTTGAGTAAGATAAACACCAATGCGAACAGTAATGCAGTTGAAAAGACAGAGAAGTCATGGGAATTGCCATGGGAAGGACATGGGGAGGAAAGGTGAACTAGCATGTGGGAGGTGGAATATCAAGCTTGACCTTGGAAAAAGTGATGCCATTGTGGTTGGTTATGAACACATGAAGTCACAAGGACCACACATAGACTTCCAAAAAGAAGGGTTTTGCAATATTTTGAGCAAGAACCACTGCCATATGAATAATTCAATAACTCCAAAATGTGATTATCATTTAGGGAGCAAAAATGAAGTTTATAATTTCAATACATTTGTTAAACAAGGAATCATAAACTTACAGTGAAATCAAGTTAAGAAAATTTGTATTTCTAACAAAACTGGCTTCCAATTAATTCAGTCAATAATCAGCATTGCAAGCTAGAAAGGAATGAACTTGATTTTTCACTACTCCACCACAGACAACCAATAGGTAATTCACTGAGATGTCCTGCTACCGATGGGTCACCTACCATGAACAGGGCTTCATAATTTTCAATCATCTTCTGCACGACAGCTATGATGGCTGTGCTCTCTTCAGCTCGGGCTGAACTCTGCACTGAGAATTCCTTGTCTGTTGACTTTTGCTTGTGCAGCAGATTGGGTCCAAATATGGTGGCCAAGTTCAGAGATGTCATTTTGTTTCCTGTGACCTATTGGAGAAGAGAATATATAGACTATTGTTACATTTGCTTTTCAAAATGCTAGGTAGCTTAATAATCAATGAAAATTTTTCCTTTGCATTTTTTTTTCCTGCAAGGGCAGCATCATCTCTGTCAGAATCGATGAGGGGAACCATCATTTTCCTTTTGCTTCATATCTTAGATTATTATAGTTCAATGGTCATCTCAATAGCATATTGAGTAAAAATTTGCAACTCTAAGGCATTTATTGCAAACCTAGTATTATATAAAATTTTATCCTGTGTGCAATTAAAAATATGATGCCTATCCATCAATTTCTTCATTTTTCATCCATCAATACATAACCTCTCCATTAATCTAGCCATTCAATACCTACTATAGGTCAGCATTTTTCATGGATTATAATTATTTTTTAAAATTTGCAACAACAATCACAACACAGGTCTTAATTTAAAGGGCTCACATTCTAGGAAGGAATTACATCAGTCATTTTCCAGATAGTAAGTATAAACAATGAAACTATAAACTCCAGGAACCTCAGAGGCTCTACCACAGAGCTGGCAGTATTTGCACAAAATCTGGGAGGAAGAATAGAATATGCGGGGCTGAAAAGCAGAGAATCTGGAGTTGGGGACTCTTTCACAGTGGATTAAACATCTTAAGCAGTGACAGAAGCATGGGAAATACATCCAGGCAGGCCAGAAAGCTCAGTGTGGCAGGGATGCCACAGGAAAGATAGGCAGAGCCAGGGGAGACAGAGTAGTTTTGACTGTGACCTCAACGCAAGAGGATTTTGATTAGAGAAGAAAGAGAGCGGATTTACCTCTTCAAAAGAGCAGTCTATGGCCCCAGGGATGGTGTGTGCAATGGAGTAACACCACCTGGGACATGCCACCTCAGTCTAGGTTGTAGCAGTTAGCTTCTGAACTAAGATGGAAGAAGGAGGGGGTGAAAAGAAGCTCCCAAGGGCATCAAAGCAGAGAAAAAATGAGGGGTTAATACTGAGGGTGAAGGCTCCATATTTTAAAAAGTGGAAAGAGCTGGTGGAATGACTCAAGTGGTAGAGCGTCTGCCTAACAATTGTGGGCCCTGGGTTCAAATCCCAGTGCCCCCCCCACAAATAATACTTATCGCTGGTGGCTCATGCCTGTAGTCCTAGATACTCAGAAAGCATAGATCAGGAGGATCATGGTTCGAAGTCAGCCTAGGCAAATAGTTAGTGAGACCCTATCTCAAAAAAACCCTTCACAAAAAAGGACTGGTGGAGTGGCTCAAGGGTGTAGATTCTGAGTTCAAACCCCAGTACCTCAAAGAAAAAAAAAAGTGGAAAGAGTAGGATAAGAACATGGAGGGCTGAGGAAGGATTCATTAGACTACAACAGCCCTAAGGAGTAGTTGATGAAGGAGGTAGAGAATGGGTCAGATGTTAAGAGAGTAAGAGCTGCATCTGGGGAAGAAATGCTAGAGAAGTATAAAGTGTGTGACCCTCTGCGGCAGATGTTCACTGAGATATTTTACTCCCCTCCAGAATGGACTTGCTGATGATTTTGAGAACTCAGAATCATTTTAGTGGTGTGGCAGGAAGTGGAAACAGTGAATGCAGAAGCTTTCTTCAAAAGCTCTCATAGAGGAGGAGGAAGAAGAAAGATGGGGGCAGGGGAGCTAAAGGAGAGCACAAGGTGAAATAGGGGAACTACTCTTTAACTTGAAATACCAAAAAAAAAAAATCACTCATGTTCAGCAGATTAGTAAGTACAAAGCACAGGTAAGTACATGGAAGAAAAATGCCTGTAATTCTAACACTTCTAAGAACCTGTTGTTCATATGCTTTACTGTGTGCATCTGTGCATATATAGATATGCTATTATTTCTTTTAAAAAATTGGGGTCACACTCCCTATCTTATTTTGCAACTTGCTTATTATCTCTGAACAATATGCTAATTACATTAATCTCTCAGTTTAAAAAAATCATCGCTCTTCCATCTTCATTGGATCCTAACATCTTGTTGCATGAATAGATTATGATTTGTTTTAACTACCATGCCAACTTAAGGGCATTTATGTTGTTTTTAATGTTATTATTATAAAAACAGGTACAAAATATCCTCAAAAATACATTTTGTGAGCTTGGCTGAGCACTGTCTTTGGATCTATTTCTATAAGTCAAATTATTGTAATAAGGCATCTGAGCATCTTAAAGGCTTGGGAAATCTTTTCACTTCTTTTTCACATGGGAGAGTCAATTTCTCTACCTTGGCAATAATGACATTTGGGGCAGATTCAGGGGCTGCCCTGTGCATGATAGGATGTTGATTGGTCTCAGGCCACAAAATGCTAGCAGAACCCCCACGCCACCCCTTCAGTTGTGACAGCCACAAGTGTTTCCAGACATATATACCCTGTGGGCCCAAATTTCCCCTGACTGATTGAGAACTATTGATCTGTGTGAATTTTTATTTTTCTTGTTAAACATTAGTTGAGACTCTTGGACTGTGAGGATAAAGACATTTTCCCTGGGAAGATAAATACAGCCTGTGAGAAGCATGTGGTGCCCAGCATAGAATTCAAGAGCTTTAATGAGCAGGCCAAAAAGTTCCCTGAGCTCCACCCTCACCCCATGAAGCCCCAATGAACAGCCTGGGAGAAGTTCCCTGAGCCCCACCCTCACCCCGTGGAGCACCAATGAACAGCCAAGGAGAAGCTCCCCACACTCCTCAGCATGCAACATTGCTTGCTGTGTTTTTGGAAGGCGAAGCTGTTTTCAGGGAGATGATTTGCCACTAGGGAATATTATTCTATGTAGTAAATACTAGGAATTTGAAACAAAGTGCCCTTTTTGCAGGATCTTCAATGATTCTTTGTTTTGTGTCATTGATATAAAGTTTGACAAGTTTTCACTTTATTTTTCACTTCTCTTCCTGGAAAATCATGGTAAGGATAAAATAAAATACGCATCATTTTCAAATTCCTCTCTTTAGAACTCAGAGGCATCTGGAGTGCTTCCCCTCCCCTCCTTAAAGTAATGTTAGGATTTTCTCCTTTTTAAAAAACATTAACAAATAGAAGATTTTGTTTTCTTTTAAAAGAATGTTTAGCACCAGGACAATCCAGAGCTCTGGTTTCCGCTCTCTCCTTCTCTGGTTGCTATTCTGGGAATGCAATACAATCCGCCTGTAAAACTGCACATAGATTCCAGCTGCAGACCAAACTGCTGTGGTTTGCTACCACTTCTTTTATTTTGTTTTTGTTTTATTGTTTTTTAAAACGGAAAGGAGACTTGCTCCAAGACATCTTCCAGCCTTGCTCACCATGGGGTATGTCTAGGTAATACATGCACTCAAGGCCACAACATTGTTGCACGATTTCATTAGCCAGCCAATTCAAGGAAAAAGTTTTTCTTCGCTAAGCATCCTAGATCATTTCTAAGCCTCATATAAATAGCTCACATTTATTAAAAGTCTAGTGTGTACATACAGTAGGCTAGGGGCTTTCCACGGACTAGTTCATCTCTCTCACGCTATAAGCTACTGAAGCAGCAGCTGCTGTCCTTATTTTATAGCTGGCAAGGGATGGGGGACACTAAGGCCCAGAGCCTGGAGCCAGATGGTGAGACAGCAAGAAGTAAAGGCAAGCAGTACACTCCAAGCAGTCCTCTATTCTTCCTCTTGTGAGCACACCTCCTCGCATTCACTCTGGCTTGGCAGACCCTGCCATCACATGAGGAGATGGGATAATGAGCTTTAAAGCAGGTCTGGGGGAAGAAGGCTGAGGCAAGGGAGGCATGGATCCCACCAAAGTTTCAAAACCAGCTCACCACTTCCTAGAGGCATGTACCTCTTCAAAGATCAGTAGCCACGGCTCTACATTGGTTCTTTTTTTTTTTTTGCCTCATGCATAGACCCTTTGAGAACTCTCTCACCAAACAAGTGCATACTCACACCACATTTTCCATGCAATGCCAAGGGGTTCTTGGACTCTGAAAAAAACCACTGTTCAGGAGGCCTTAATTTTATTTCTATTATATTCTTTCTAGAAGAAATGAAATGTTTCTTACATTTTGGAATTTCTCTTTTCCCTAAGTGGCAAAACAAATAGCAAACTAAACAAAATGGAATAAAACAAAACTAACACAAGATAGCAAAACACCACAATTCAATAAAGCACCACTGTTTTCCTCTAAAACAGCACTAATTTATTAGTCAATAGTTTTTCTCATGCCCTTCTTTTAGGTGTCTTTACAATCCCACCAGCTAATGGTGCTCGTATTAGAGAGGAAATATAATTTCCACATTGTAGATGAGGAGGCTAAGACTTTCCCTGGCCCCCACTCTGCTTTCCTTCCTCTTCCTCTCTTCCACAAAGACAAGGTCATACAGCAAGGAGCTATCAGAGCCTTGTGAGCATTCAAGTGTCTTGATTACCTGGGTCAATTCTCTTCCATGCTATAATCCACAAAAGCAACAACCTAACAAATAGCTAACACAGACTAAGAAGTGGGCAAGAAAAACATGATTTGAAAAATTATTTGTTTCTTGACCATATTTTACAGCTTGAATTTTAGCTTTGCCCTAATCTGCCCGTTCTATTTCCCTACCTGCTTATGCTAAACCAGCTAAACAAATACTAAACAAAGAACCTCTCTCATTCCTCTCCATCTACCTGTCCTTAACTTTTATGAGCAGAGTGGAACAGCCATTGGAAAATTACTGAACAATAATCACTGGTTTAGAGGAACTCAGGAAAGGTGCTCATGACATACATAATTCAAATACCAAGGTCACTCATACATTTATAAAAGGAATTGCTGCTTTCTGTACTGCCATTGACACAAAAGATTCTTAACTCATTATGTCTCTGTCTCTAACTAATCTACAACATGGACAATGTCACCTGTTATCAAATCCTTCCAAAGATTTACATCTTAAAAGAATCAACCACCTACCCACGCAGAGGCATTATGAACATGATCCCATGTCCTGTCATCTCCCCTTAGTACGACTCTGCTCTGTAGCCTTTACTTGAGTTCAAGATGGTTGCATAGGCTGCTTGCTTTCCTGTCACTTCTAACCTTTTCAAGGAAGCAAATCTGTCTTTATAGTTCCCCTAATGCTTTAATCATTGGTTATTAGTCCATCATTTTGATTCAAGGCTTAGGCCAAGAGTATCTGGAAACCCTTGTAAACCCTTGCTTCCTGTCCAACTTTATTGTTACCAGGATGTTTTTGTTTTCCTGATAGTAAACTAGGCCTCTCAAACATTGCGCAGTGTCAGATGAAGGACTTTTTTTTCTTCAGAGACAGAGTCTTGCTATATCTTGAACTTCTGGGCTCAAGTGGTTCTCCTTCCTCAACCTCCCGAGTAGCTGGAACTATAGGTACACAACACCACACCTGGCTCCTACTTGAAGAAATTTTATTCCCTAAGTTCAGGTGAGGAAGACCAGGTTTAGAAAGATTAACAGATACGCCCAAGAACACATGGTCAGTGAATTACAGTGGATATTCTTGACCAGGGGCAATTTTGACCCCCTTGATCCACGGACTGGGTAATGTTTGGAGATATTTTTGGTTGTTTGCGGTGGTACTGTTACTGGTATCTGGTAGGTAGAGGCTAAGGATACTACACTACCTATAATGTCAATCATGCAGAAGCTAAGAAACCTTGGGCTAGGTCCCTAGTAGGGTTGTACTTTACTTCTAACTCTTATACTTCTTTTCTCAGCAAGTTAGACTGGATTGAGTTTGAAGCACAGCTGGGCATTTGCTAGTCGTGGAACCAACTGACTGCTAACCAATATGATGGCTTTGTGGGAATTAGAAAAAGGAAGCTCTTCCTCGAGAACTTTCTCTACTGTCATAGCAACTCTGCAAATCTACAGTAATTATAGAGTGTATGGCACCTCCTCCAGAACTGTGAAATACACAAATGTACCACTTGTATGACTTTTCATGGAAGCTCCCTGTGGGACTCAGGATAAGTTACCTAACCCCTTAGATTTTCAGTTTCTACTTCTGAAACATGGGGGCAATCATATGTCTTTTGTCTATTAGAAGGATTAGTTACTATAACACAAAGCCACACACATAGGAGAGACATGAACTGTAGTAGCTAGTATACCAGCACGCTAAGTTTCATTTATACCTATCCAAGAATACTGTCTTCTTTTTTTGTCATAGCTGATTAGTCTTCATTAGCTTTGGACTGAAAGAATGTCTAAAAATTATTCTTAAAAGGCTATATTGTAGAAAGTTCGATTGGACTTTTTGCTTTCTTCAGGGGCTTCTTAATCACCTGAAACCTAACTTTCGCCTTCACACATAGTACTTAGGAAATGTCAGAGAGGCAATTGGTGTAATTTCTGACACAGGGCTCTGTCTTTACTCAGCCACCAGGAAGATGACTCTACAGCTTTTGTTATATCTGAGGTCTATAAAGGCTGGCACCCAGACAGGTAATATAGTTATGTAACAATTCTGAGAATTATAGCATACCCATCGAAGAGCTGTGTATGCTGAAAAAAGGTGTTGGGCTATATTATGGCACCTGAAGCCAGCGGTGGTTTCACTAATTATAGCTCCTATAGAGCTAAATGGCTAATTCAGGAATGTTACATTCTCACACTCATAGGGAGATGAAGGAGAAGAAATGCAGAATTGCCTTTCTGGATTAGAGAGAAAAAAATTATATATGATCATGTCCTTTGGGAACTAAATTTGCCAAGTTCCTGTGGTTAAGTAAGTCTGTAGTGCTTCTGGCCCCTTCTTGTTGATTTAAAGTACATGTTAGCATATTAAAGGGCCTGAAACCTCCTAGAAAATTCAATGTCAGGGAAAAGTATGTTTGCCTGGGATCAAAGTGGAAAAGGAGTCTCCTGTGAAGGTAGGTGACTTCTTAAATTGGGTGCCAGCTACTAGGTGACTTAAAACGGAGGTGAACATCTTCTTTACCCAAGGGTGAAAATGAAAAACACTTGAAAGTATGAATAAGAACAAAGAGAACCAGAGCCCAAGATCTCAGATTGGAAGGTGGTTGTCACACTGGGCCTGAGTGGGACCAGGTTCAAGTATAGCATGCCTAAAGGGCCTGTGGGACTGTGTTGAACCTGCTTCTAGCAGTTGACGTCATGTGATATTCAGATGCAAGGGCAAAGTTCAGAACTCCGAGTTCTCTCTATACCTACTTTGGTACTTTGGGAGCAGAACAGACAATACATTGCTTTCAGCAAGTTCTTATTTAGGGGGAGAGTTTAAGGAGAGAAATGACCTTCATAAAAGGAGATACTGGACTTCTTGCTCTTAATGCAGATGAGAGATTCAGGGAAAAACTAGAAGAGTAAACAGGGGATGTCACATTTGGGCTTCACATTAACGAAGCAGATCAAACCAGTTACAAAATTTGATCCCCACCACTCCACTTTTACATAATTGCAAGCACTACTATAGGTTCTTGTTTTTTTCTCACGAATGGAAACTCAGGGTAGAAGATGAGGAGGTCAGAGATGGGGAGGTGTCATTTTCTCAGGCTGGAATATTTGGCCATGTTGATGTCTTTTCCTTTTAAAAAATGGGAGAAAGAAAGAGTCACAACATCTGTGGCAATAATAGGGTCATACCTCTTGTCCATCCTTACTGACATTGTCATCAGCATGCCTAGCCACGATAGAGAGGAATTGTAGGAGACGGTGGAGGGTGTCGCAGTTGCAGGGAGGTAGAAGGTAGATGAGGAGCTGCAAGGTGCCCAGCTGTTCCTCTGGCTCCAACACTGTATAAAGCAGAAAGGGGGCTCTGAATAAGAACAAAGAGAGCTCACATCTTTCAGGCAGGGAAGAAAGGTTTCCTCTTAACTGTCTTAGGAAGTTACCTAGGTAAACACCACTTCATGCCTTCACTCATTGCCATACTTGCAATTTAGCTGCAAGGCTCTAAGAAAGTCAAAAAGAACAACTAGACCTGGTGTAATGTCCCATCTAGGGAAATCATGAGAAGTAACTTGATTTCCTTTACTATCTTTTTCTTCCTTTCTCTGGCACTATTTATACCAACTTAATGGGTTTCAGTCCATGGTTGGCAAATATTTACTAACAATGGACTGACAATTGGTGAATGTTCTGAAATTTGAGTTTGTAACAGATTTGAGGCCCTTTTCTGTTGAGTAATACACAAGGGACTGACTTTTTGTTGGCAATAATCACGACATGTACAAAATAACTGTCCTGTCTCTATAATCCCATTTGATTTGCAGCATTGGAGGAAAGAAATATACACAGGTTGACACAGCTCTGGCTAATCTTTTCCCCTTGCCCTCCTTTCCTCCTATGGAGTCTGTATTTGCAGAAGCAGCTATGTTGAAAGTCTTGGCACTGGGCTATGTCACCTTACTTCCCCTGAATTGTTGTCTGTCCCCTTTTCTTACTCTGGGTTCCTTGGATCTCTCTTTCCTCATACCAGAAACACCAACTCATTTTTAGGCACAGACTCAATGTGAACTCTCTCTGGTACATCAAAGAAGCAATTTATAGCACTTTTTTTCTGTCCGGGGGTCATTTGAAAGCATCCCAAATTCTTCTTAGCTATTTCCATTCGTTTTATTGCTACTTTCTTCTTGCTAATTGTCCCCAGGATAAATCTCAGAAAATCCCCCAAATAGCCCATTCATTAGAGACCGATAAACAAGGACAAAAACAGTTATCAGAAAACACATGCATTTGATGAGTGAGCTGGACATTCTGGTATTCCAAGGACACTTTCCCACGAATAAGGTTGTATTACGTACAGAGAGTGTTGATGAATGCCGTGTACAGCTCCCTGGTGAGAAGGGGGTCTGGCATGTCCCTTAGGAACTCCTTCAACAAGGCTGCCACATCATGAACACTGTGCTCTTCTTCCAGAGAGACGTCAATTCCACGGTCAAATTCCTCACGTAACTGGAAAAAACAAGGGATCGAGTGGCAATCACATAAGGCTACTTTGACAAAAGTAGCATATAACCAATAATCTCCATGTTCGGTATCCACCTAAAGAAATGTTTCAATATATAGCATATGGTGTTAGGTCTGCACAGACCCCAAGAAGAAGAAACAAACAACATGTCTCCTTGATCTGCAATCTACACCATCCAGCTATGAATATACGTGTATGTTTTAAATGTGTTATCAAGTTAAAGTATCTGTGGATTTTCTGTTAATGATGTGAGCAGAGGGGCAATAATGACAACCAGAAGGGTAGAAGGAAAGGCAAAAGGGTAGAAGAGAATTTAAGTCAACTGCAAATGTGGAAGGGAGGAATTAATCTATTGCATAGCATTTCTGTGTGTCACCAATCCTGTCATGTTAGACTTATGATTGTTTACTGAGGTACAAGAAAATAAGGAGATTATTCTACAAATAAAAAACCTAAAAACCCTAATAGAATATTCCTGGCTGAAGCTTAAAAGATATCTAAACAAAAGCTGTCATCAATTTGTCAAATTGCCTTATGAGTGATTACCAGAAGGATTCCCAGTCTTAATCATTATACTAGGCCCATTAACATCTAGAGCAGCAGAAAAACAGAATAGCAAGAAGGGAATAACTCCACACCTTACTTTCATTTCTGACAGCTCAACTTTTCTTACGTGTTGTTCTCTGTTGGAGAAATAATTATGCAAACCTGTGGATGAACACTGTGCAACAAGCTTCTATAAGAGTTCATTTGTTCAATCATTCATCCATCCATTCACTTAACAAGGATTTATTGCTTTTTTTCTGGGTCCCCAGCCTTATTATAGGTGCATGACAAGTACTGGTAAATAAAGAAGCAAATCCCTACTCTCCTCCACCTCTCAGACTAGTAGACACAAGGTGATAAGTAGATAATTAACAAATGGTTAGCTCTTAATTTTTAACTAGGGAAGAAAAAAATGTCAGGTACTGAGGAGTGAAGTATAAAATAAAATGGTGAGTGAGTTAGAGCATATTTTATACTTGGAATTCAGTTCTAAGTAACCACTATTTTCATTTTTTATTGGATAATCCTTAAATAAATCTCCATGCAAAGATTTTCCCTTTGCTGAATCCAGATATAACTGATGAATAATTTCTGGCACTTGCCATCTGGCCACCTGATGAGAATACCCATCACTGTCCTGAATTGCTCATTGATTCCAGACAACTCGCCATCAACATATGTCAGGCAGCCAGAATGAAGAGGACTTCTGTCTGCACCAATCCAACTGGGATCATTCACACACACCATGTTTCTTTTCTGAACACACACATGCAGAAAGAATGGGCTGTACAAAGAGCTGAATGTGGCATGGACACTTCCAGGCATTTTCTTTCAGTTGTCTGATGCTAACTCTATAACAACTTTTCTGAGCTTCTGAATTGTGTTTCATCTCTTGGGACTCAATTATAGTATAACCAGTTGTAGGATAAAGAGAAGATATTCAGAATGGAATTTGCATAAACTTGAACGTTGCACAGGGTACTTCAATTAAGTCAAGTGAAATGAACAATATAAACTTCACTTTTCACTTACTTGTCTCACTCTCTTCTTTGAGCTTCCAACTCGGAATATTCCCACTGTCTGGAGGCCTGTAAATAAACAAACAAAATTAACAGTCTTTTTTTTTGGCTTGAGACTCTGGAGGAAGTCAAAGTAGAAATAGAGCAGAATGCCAGTACAGAGCTGTGACACAAAAAGCAACAGTAACTTAACAGCATCCTGTAATTCTTCCTTATTCTATACTATTTACATTCTCCAGTTACCTAAAGGTTAGCACATTAGGCATCAGAATAATTTTACATTAAATGTTTCTGATGAAAACTTTTCCTTATGATATTATATAATTTCACAACTTCTCCATATGAGAAAATATTGCAACAGTTTTCATTATTCAGAATAATTACCTAAACATTAATTTTATACCAATCTTTAGCCCTTTATTAATTTTAAAATAGATACTTATCATTTTTCTAACCATAATGAAACCATGCTCTTAAAGAAAATCTAAAAAATGTAGGAAAATGTAAAAAAAAAAAACTAAAAAGATACCTGGTACAAAAACAATCACTTAAAATTTCACTTTATTTCTATCTAGCTTTTTCTCCATGAAAAAAATATAAATATATTGCTTAGTTGAGATCATGCACACGTTTATAAATATAGTGTCTATCTATCAACAGAGAGAATGCCACTGACTTCCCTCACTATTAGGCCACAGGAGTTTTCATGTAGGTAAAAAATTCCCTGTAAATATGATTTAAAATACAAAATACTCTGTTATATGAAGGGGCCATGATTTATTTCATAGTCCCACCTGAATGGCATATAATCCCACAAAATACACAGGTTTCTTTTGCTATTATAAATGGCCTTACTCTGAACAATTCTGTGTGCTTGTATTTGTTCATATTTCTGATTATTTTAGGATCACATTCTAGATGTGGAAACATAGAGTTAATGCATTCAAAAGAGTTATCCAACCTAAAACATCAGTAGTACTCAAAAACATTAGGTCCCTTTAAAAAACAAGTAATATCAATACTACACATCAGACATTTCAACAACAGTTCTTTAATAGCATTAAATTGCCAGTCAATGTCCATAAGGTTCATAAATTGTGATAGTGAATGTGCCTTGTATTCTATTAATCTATTAATAGAATTAATCTATTAATCCATACCATTAATCTATATCCACTCTCAGTTTTTTTATCCTACATAGTAACTGGTTTGATGAAGAAATAACATTTAATTCTCACTGTAGATCTTCCCGTGGTCTGTATTTGGACACTTTGTGGTGTAATTTATGTTTCTTTTTCCCTCTTATTTCCTCTAAAGAGATGCTTAAAGCAGAGTTTTCTGTGGTCCAGGTGTGATTATTTGGGTAGGAATACTCATAAAAGTTATTGTGTTCTTTCTTGGGGGGCACAGATGCCCAAACGATTCCCCTTTTTGTGAGCCATTCATCATCACCACTGATGAGCACAATCTATGTTTATTTTTTCACTGGTGGCTCAGTTTCTCTTCCTTTGGGATAACCAGGTATGGAATGATACCAGATTGGAAATGCTAATGACCATTTGAAGCAGCAACAGTTGGTGTAAGAGTAAATTCAGCAAAGCGAGAACACTCTTGGCATCATTTGAATCCTGGATTCCCCTGTGCCTGAATGGACATCAGTCTCCCAGTATATAAATACGGTCTGAAGTTTTTATGGAGGGGAATTTTACTTAGCTTAATTTTGTCTGGGTTCCTTTCTCCTGTCATCAAAGGATTTCTGATTAGTACAATATAATTAAATTAGAAAGAATTTAATTCTTTATATTATTTCTTCCTATCCAGAAACAAAATAAACATTAATTTGTTGAGTTTTATATCACTGGGTAAAGTTTTGCAGTTTTCTTCCTAGAGCTTTCTTACCTATTATTACAGACATCTGGGCATATATTTTTGGTTTTACTGTTAATTCTTCTATCATAGTTTATAACTGATTATTGCTTTTATATTTTGTATATTTATGTTCTGATTTTGCATTTTAAGTATCAACATTTTAGCTGGATTTTCAGAGGCTTTTTAGTTAGAAAAGATAGTGATCATAAATACCCCATTTATCAGTTCTGCATCTTAAAAATATTGTCCTGAATTTCCAGAATAATTGAGAGAATTGTGGTGAGAAGATGGTGATTGCTGATTTGCATAAGTGCATCTTGGTGCTTTGCTCTTGCGTGGGACTTTGTTTTTTGCATCTTTTTTCAAAGAACTTCTCGCTCCTCTTTGATACTGCCATTAATTTATTTGCTCATAACTGAAGCAACTTTCTGCCTAATTTATTGCTTCTAGCTCTCTGGGAGCCTGAGAACAGGAGAATCAAACTATTTAGAATTAATACAGAATTATATTTCTTCAACTGAAAAATGAATGTAAGTACCCTTTTCAAATTTGTGCAATGATTCAATTAATTAATGCATATAGACTACTTATCTGACATATAGTATCATACAGAAGAAATAGGCCCTGAATGAGTCTTCTATGTACAACATAGAAAAATTAATATAATCTTAGTAATTTTAATTTTGGCTGTATTTATTTTCTTACAGTTTCTGAATAGTTGAAATTTCTATAGAAGCAAATTATCACACAGGGGAATTTTTTACACAGGTGGGGATAGTAATTTGACTAAATTTCTTCAGGCTATGCAGAAATGCACATTTCTATGAAATTACTTCCTCAATTATAATACTTTTCCAATCAGTAAATCTGATTGTGATTTAAAAATAATTTGTTAGTAACTAGAGATTGATGGTTATAATTCTTATGTACATCAACTGGCTATAATCTGTTCTTAGTTTTAATAATTTAATTTTTTAAAGTAGAATGACAATCTTAAGGCAAGGCAATTTTAAGGTAGAACAAATGATAGCCAATGCCTTTTCTTACAAGGCCTTACAGTGATTTTCCTAAAAGAGAAGACACTGTCTAGGCATTCAGTAACCATGAATCAATACAGTCACTGATAAAAACAGGTGGATATTGAGAAGGCATAAACCTGATAAAGAAATGCGACTTTGCTGTGTTCTGTCCCAGAAATTGATGTGATCATCTTTCTCCCTTTTTCAGCAGAAACTGAAGGTAAACCAAACCCAGAAAAACCTGAATCTCAGGCTTAGGGACTTCAAGAAATGGAGGACAGGCACAATGAGCAGTAGGTTCCACCCATAAATCAGACTAAGTTCCAGAAACATACTATAATTCAACTCTGTTATATTTTTGTGTCTGATTTTTGGAAATGTGTGTGCTCTGGGAAGTTGAGAATGCTTGAGGAAGAATACAGAAAACATTCGAATGAAAAATAAATGAGGAAGTGTTGTGTACACAAACACAGATGAGTCCAATATAATTGTCTAAAACAATTTTGGAGATGATAAAAAATGTCTTTGATAATGTTTATTAGACTAAAGTTATTCATGTCCTCTTGCTATCTATTTCAAAAACAGGCAAATAAAGTTTTATGAAGAAATGCTTTTGAAGTTTTGAAGTTTTCTCTTTTTCCATTGGTTTAAAGCAACCAAGTTAATACTGTATTTGAACTTATCTCTTATATTTTGTAGTCATATAGTAAGTACCACTGAAATCTGAAATAAATCAGGACTTTCAAGGAAACCAGCTTATCTTCTTGCCTTTAGGCCATAAACTACATGCTAACTACTCTAAAACAGACATATAATGTATTATATATATACACCATATATATTAAATGTAATATATTTGCATTTATATATGAGAGAGAAATGTTCAAGGTACACATCAATAATCACAGGCATGTGAAAGGTAAGCTAAAAAAAATGAAAGTACCCACATTTAAAATTTGTAATAAACAAATAATGTTTTCATATATATTACTTTGTTAAGTCACTTGTTATCCAGTGATTTCCATACATAATGAATTATTGAGAGAAATTTAGATTGCATCCTTAACATTTTTATAAAGTCCCATTTTATTTACAAGGAAAATATGACAATGGGTAACAGTAATCGTGTCTGCATGGAAAGCTTCAGAATATTTCTTTAGTTTTATGTTTTCTTGATTACAATGAGCATAATATGTTAAGAAAGTAATTTAGAAATATTTTCCCATGTCCATAAAATGCCTGCTAACACATATAGTGATCAAAATTTACATTATGCAAATGGAAATTTAATAAGCTAGAAGTCTAAATTTCAGAAAAATTTAAATAATTGTACATTATTTTAAAGTCATATCAACAGGAATTGAGTTGCAAAAGGATGACTGGAGAAATTTTAAATGGACATCTACAAAAAAGGCAAATAGCCATATGTAAAACCTACTGTCAAAATGATGTATTTTGGATTTTCAAGTGTATTTTTTAAAAGAAGCTTAAACTCATGTTTTAAAGGAAAGTTTGTTGAGAAATTGCAATGTAAAAAACGATTATGTCCCTTCTCTGTTTGAAGAGCGTTCTAGTGACAGATCAAGCCCAACAGAGTGGGCTCAATGCTTGGTCAGAGTAACTTCTGAGACTCATAGGGGCCAAATAGTCCAAGTGCTATCAAATTGATTCCTTCCCTGACCTGAAACAATCTTGTCGAGCTCAGTAATCTTTTAAGCAAACACTCACATCTGAATATTTCTTCCCAAAGGAAATTTGG